TAAAATAAGTATGAATGGGAAACGATCCGTACAAAGCCCCCCCCCCCCATTAACATAAAAACCCACAAATTTCGTGTGCCAGATGAAAAGAAACTAAATAACGCTGGACATATACCAGTGAAATTTAAATCCAGGCAGTGTACATTTTGTAGCACATGGAAGAAACCTCATAGAACAAGATGTATGTGCGAAACGTGCTTTGTGGGTCTATGCATGTGCCAAAAAGACAAAACATGCTTTGAACAATGTCACAAAAAAAATTTGTTCTTTGAAATTAAAAAAAACACTGAGTTCTTTTTTATCCTTATTTTGTTGAGATTTTTAATCCGTTTATCTAAATATCCTTATTATGTAGGTACTTATATATTCACTGCTATAGAAAAATTACATAAATGTTTATTTTTTAATTTTTTCTGACGATTTACTTTGTAAAATAATGTAAAAAAATTATATATAATGCAATTCTTACATACATTTTTTTTTTTTTTTTTTTTTTTTTTTTTATCCCTAAATTTCGTCATTTATTGGAAACGCGCGCGGAAAATAGTAAGTTTTTTTCCCTACTACATCAGTAAGTTTCAAAGTTCTAGACGCGCGGTGGTTTCACAGTGCGACCATCACCCATAGAACAATGGGCAAGAGTAGATTTTTTTAAAATTCATATATTATTTGTCTCTAGGATCATAATATTCAATTTCTAGAGTTTTTAGTTAAAAAAATTATAAAAATAATATCGCACGCGTCAAAGTTGCTTCCGGTTGGTTCTGCAAGAGTGTGCCCAAACAGGGCAGGCATAACTCAGCATAGGGGGCAATATGACTTGCTAAATGTGTTGCTTGTTGTCTAGAGATCAACTAGAGATCAAAAAAGATGTCTAGAGATCAACGTCATCATGTAAAATTTTCGCCTTTACATGCCGTTCCAGCATGTAAAGGCGAAAAGTACGTGAAGCTTTAAGGAAAGGCGGTGAAATCTGACATACTTTATCTTTCAGGTTACCACGTCTTAGTCTTGCTTTCCAGTTATTATCTTTACAAAACTCAACTTTCATCTTAAGTATAAATTTCTTCTCGTGGCTTTAATATTTTGATGGTTTATTATCATAATAAGTTGTCCTTCCTACTCCAAGTCTGTTCTAAGTATGTGTTGTATCATTTGATGTTTAATTTGTGCAGACATTAGGGTATTTTGAAGCAGGGGACATGAAGAATGTGCAATACTCTCGGCAGGACTCGAACCTGGACTTCTCGAATACGCACCGAGTGTGCTACTGTTACACCACGAAAGCATGCAGAAAGGAAGGCGAAAATACCTTATATACTTCCCCATTTAACGGCCGACTGAGGATTAATGGACCAGTCGCCAAATCCTGGTGGTGAAGAATCATCATCCACCACCTTTTAGTTCGAGTGCTGTAAATTTATATAAATATTTAAAATTCAGTGAAACAAAAGATTTCATTGACAATCAGATGTATCATTCCCGATGACTCTAAAGGCTATTGATTATTAGTGACGTACGGGTTTTCAATCACCAGTCCAGTGCTTGTGCAAGAAGAACACTTTGCTTAAAACGGCCAAATGGAGGTCAAAGCAGGGGTAAATAATGTACTAAACAGCATAGCATAATGTAACAATATAACACTCCAGAAATGTTGAAGATTATGCTGAAAGACTTCGCGCATATCGAAATAAAAGGGGTCGAGAAATTGAAATCTGAAAACTCTGATTTACTATATAGATTTTGGTTTTCTTTGATAGCACATCAGAACTGGAATATAAATGCATGACTCATACTTACAAATCAGGCAGCCATTATGGAGATGTAACTTAAAGTAACAGTAAACTCAAATTCAGAATTTAGTAGCCAAGAGCTATATAAATGATTTAATGAGAAGTTGGCTCAAATTTCTCACCGACGTAACATTTAAATGTTAGTAACTATAATGCAAAGTAATAATACAATCTTATACGAGCATAAGAATACAATCTTATGCGAGCTAGCTAACTTAGCAACGTGGCCTCTAGAAGCAGAAAAACGCTCTGTCTTAGAATCTAACAACCTCAGTTAAATATTCAGTTTAATTTGCGTTCTGGCGAGAAAACGGAAGGGAGAATTGACAGTAAAGATCCTGAAAAAAAAAATAACTTGTTAACTAACTTGTTGAATAATAATAACCTTAAACCTGTCTAAGAGGTCGAAGACTATATCATTAAATTTCGAAGTTAGGAAAAAGGTATTTAAAGATTTGAGAAATATGAAATCTGTAATTTTAAAATTAAACTGCAGTATGCTCTTAGTATTCATATTTCAGTGTACCTTTCGAAACAATTTTTAGCTAAATAGTTAGACAGGCCTAGTAGTTCAAGAATTTGTACCCCAAAGATTAAAAATATACGACAAAAAACCTTAGGCTTAAGATGACCAAATGAAGCAAAAAAAATTGCTGCGCTATTATTTATTTTATTGCAAATTAATGACTCGTGAAGATTTGCTCATTTATTTTTATTTTACTTGCTTTAGATAATTACACGTAAGATGTCTTGTCTAGATTTCGCGCATTATTTTAGATTTTTACTGGAATAGTGAATCATATTTTCTGATTTAAAACTCTGACGTTTTAAGGAAATATCTCTTTTTTCCACGTGTATGCGAGTGAGTGAATATGCCAGCATGCGAAATGGCTCATAAATTTTAATTAAGCCTGTTTTTGTATTATGATTCCAGGCAAGCTCATTTGCTTAATTTAATGAAATATTATTGTTATTTAATAAAGTATTCACTGAATAAAGGTCATTTTTTGCATCCTGCATGTTAAATAGCTACATTGTGGTCATTTGATTTTTTGTTTAAAGAAGAGAAAAGAAACATGTCGATCAATAAAAATTGTCTTGCATTTATATCAGCGCCACGTGCTTAATAGCGCAACTGAAAACAATTTAGATTTAATTTTCTATCACGTATTGGTTCAGCACAAAGCTGAGGTTACCGCATGGGGTTTTTCGATGTTTACATCATGTGTAAACTGAATATAAATGAATTTCCTTTTGAAAGTTTTCCACGAAGACATTCGTTCCCTTAAGCCAGACAGCTTTTACGCGCTTTGACATAGTTCAATAAGCAAACAAATCTATCGTATCCTGAAGGCTGCTGTCATTGGCATAAAGTACTTGTAATATATTGGGTACCAATAACATGCGTTTCTAATGTCAAAATAGGCATTTACGCCTTAATTTAAAATTTTCTCTGATGATTATTTCGCCTATGATTATCATTCATGTATAATAGCATCAGAATAGTTATTCCGTTAACTGCCATTCTGAAAATCATACCCAACTTTTATAGTCAGCTTAACTTTTATAAACTATATTTATCAGGTTCTGTGTTTCTCCTTACTTGCTTGGGGAACATTCAAAAAAACCTGACTCGGAACAGGGAGCTTACTAAAGCTATGTTCAATAAATGTAGGAAGTAGACAAGATACACAGGAAGGGTATACGAAACCCTTTATTTTTCCCTCTTTACAATAATTTCCAGACTTCGGAATACAGAGACCAACCACTTGTGGTCTGAACGTAAGAATATAAAAAATATTAACTAAACTCTAACTTAACTTACAATAAACAATAGCAAAACAAGGAATAACAAAACAAGGGTCTCCGAGAAGATTGGCCGTATATTAACAGGAAGCCGTATGTAGTACAGAGAACTGTTAACACTACAATACGTTTAAAATTATTAAGAGGATTAAACCTCTGGCCTGGAAGGCAACCAGCAACCGAGTAAAACTGCTAAGGCAAGCGGCCTGCTTCTACTAACTCCTTCCTCTCTCTTGCTTGGCAAAAAGCCACAACTTAAGTACTTGGCGTTCGCCAGACACATTTGCATAAATAAGTTAAAGCTTTTAATTCTGGCCGGAAGTAGAAAATAAGAAGTGATAGTAAAGATTTAAAATAAAATAAACGTTAGTAAAACTTAAGATCCTTACATATTAAAAAACTTTATACCTATATCCTAACTTCGGAAGGAGTGGGAGACCTATTTAGGTAAATGTGATTCAATATATAACAGTATGGAACACTTAATTATCTTTCTTATAACTACTGCAGGACAAGACTTTTCTTTTCTTTCAAAGAAGAAAAAAGTTCTTGGTATTTTCTTGTAAAATGTCCTCGAAAATGTAGTATCTTTCTGTATGAAGCAGTCTTACATTAACAGTAATAAAGCAATTTATATCGAGCATCACATTTCGCTTTTTAAACATGGGGAGATAACATTTCATGTGATTGCTCAACTAGGTTCCTTATTACAACGAAACAGAAGGCATCTGTGGTTTTCAGGTGTGTTTCATTTCGGCAAAGCAAGCGGAAGTTATCTGCCTAAGAGAAGAAATGCCTTCGTGGAGATCTTTTTAAGGAAAACTGGCTCATATTTACGTTACACATGAAGAAAAGCAGAAAAAGGTCCATGCAATCAGTCGTTCGATGAAATTTGAAACCCAGGTCGAACTACCAGTAACCAGCCGTCTAACCCAGATCGAATTATAAGCATTCAGCGACTTTCGTAAAAGTAAAGAAAGTAAATAAGTTGCTTTTGAATAATAAAGTTATTTTTAAACAATAAATGCACAAAAAAATATAAATAAAGATAAATACGTAATAAAAGTTGTTTTTAAATAATAAATAGAAAATCTGTTGGATATACAGAATATAAATATATAAATGATAATTAAGTATAAGAACTTGTGCATAAACAATAGATGCAAAAAATAAGTAAGTTATAAACATAAATAAATAAATTTAAACATACGAAAGTGAATTTGAATAAATAAATACATAATTTATTTTCTTTTTCCCAATGATCTCATATACGACAGATTTTTCAAATCAATATCATTTAACTTTTTTAGAACTATACATAATTTATTTACATAAATTTATATTTCATAATCCGTTATCACCGTTTTTATGAATTTTATTTAATTTTTTTTTCTTTTGCAGGTATCTTCAATCAACAGGGTCCTACGGAATCTAGCAGCACAGAAAGAGCAGCAGCAACAGCATCATCAGCACCAGCTGACCGTACCTGGCGCTGAGCTCGTGTACGATAAACTTCGGATGCTGAACGGGCAGCCCTGGTCGTGGTATCATACGGGTGCATCGCATCTTACCGCCGCCGGCGTACCTCACGGGACATCCCCGACGGGGCTTTCGGTTGCGGCCGCGGCTGCTGCTGCTGCAACGGGAGGCCTCGTGGCGCCGGGCGTCACTGTTTCCCCTGCAGGTCTGGGCATGTGCAACGGGCAACTTAACGGAAATGACTCTAGTACCAAAAAAAGTGAGTTCTGAGCATCCATTCTAACGAAATAATTTTTTTTAAATATAAAAAGATGTTCCTTTCTCTCAAAATGCTATTTTGAAAAACAATAGACGTTTTAGATGCAAAGCTAACATTAAAAAAATATCATAAGGTAATTTATCATTTATCCTTCAGTCAAAACATATGTATATGTAGGTATATTTAATTAACTTTATAAACCAGGACCAAATTTCTTAACTTCTATGTTGTCAAATACCTTCTAGGAATAATATACATTATTATGTCACTGAATTAACATTAGATGAACAAAATTAACTGTTAGATTTGCCCATCGGTGACATAAAATGTCTTTAAAGAAGGAGGGCTTTAGAAGCAACATCTTATGAACGATGTCAGAATCCTATTTGTGAATCACAAGTTTAACGCATAAAAATAGTGTTTACGCCATGGTCTTGCCGTAATATACTCTATTGAGTACGCTAAGTACAAGCTTCACATCAAAAGGCAAGAATTATAATAGTAGTAGTATTATTAGTAGTAGAAGTAGTAGTAATAATTAAAAATCTAAATCAGGAAGTTGGAAGATTATGGGCGTTAAGAATTGTGCGCTGCGAAAAGGCTAGGGCTATAGACAAATCATTTGAATTATCTTTCTTGTATGACACCATATTCAACTAATAATGTAAGATTGCCTCTCGTGTATTCTCTTTTTTACATTGTAAGTTATCTTCAGACATACAGAAGTGTTATATATTTTAGCTGACTTGTATTTGGGTGTGTTAGCATCGAGTAGCTAGAGAAAGTATAAATTTGTAACGCATATTTGGAGAGATTAAAAGTATATTGAAAGTAAAGTAGATTAAAAGTATAGTGCGCTTAATAGTATATTGAAGCATGTAGCATGCTTGCATACATATAATTTGTAGAGTCGTGATCATGTAATGCAAGCTAATGGATAGTAAGATCACTGGACACTGGTAGTTCGGTGCGGTTCAAACCCAGACAAACGAGCTGGCTAGTCGTGAGTCTTTGTAGTTTTCTCCATGTGTAAGATGAATAACAGCCAGTTTCGTTTTAAAAGTCCTCTTAGTCTACGAAGTTTAATTTACGTTTAGTATTTAAAAGTCTACGAAGGCATTCATATCCTTAGGTAGATAGCCTACGTGTGCTTTGCTAAAATCCAAATAACCTACGTGTCGTAATAATTATGATGTATGCATTGTACAGGGAAAAGATGGAGATCATGCATATGTAAAATATTTCATATGCATTACAGTGGAATGAACAACTTTGAAATTTTATTTATGTCATGTAAATTCAGGGTTTATTTTCTGTATTGTTATGAAATCAAAAATTTATATGCAAAATATTTTATATATTGCGACAATCCTGTTCAATTAAAAATATATTGAGTCTTGTCGATTATCGTTAAATTTTCGATCCTTTATACTTTCAATTTGAAATGCATTTGAATCTCTAATAGTTATTGAGATCTGTAATTAATATTTTGATTTTAGTCTAAATTTCTTTGCTATAATTGGATTTTGTTGTTAGTCAACAATTGAAATTAGATTTGCTGTTCGAAGTAAGTTATATTTTCAGATACAGAACGTTTTGCAGAGATTCAAGTACATGTGTGTTCTAATAGATGGGAGGTCTCCAATTATCTTCCTTCGGCTGGCTGTAAAATTTCTTTGAAGGCTTCATCCGTTAGTGATATCTGACACTCTCGTCGTGTGATACACATACCTATTATACAGGGTGGTCCAAAATTATTGAGCGCATTTCACATTTGAATTGCGTGCCATAAATACAACTCATGTGAAACTTATTTAATGTTTAAAAATTTGTTGTGTAAAACTGTTTTAAATTGTCTTTCAGAGAAAACAATAAACATGTACGCAGCTCATTTTGTTCCCCCCCAAAAAAATCCGCTCAATAGTTTTGGATTACCCTTTACTTAACTGTGTGAAACATACACATACACTTGTGTGTTTAATTTCATTACCACTTACCTAACCTTACCTAGCCTCTGTATTACACTCGATTTCTTGGATGATAGGACAATGCACGCAAGAGCTATCTGCTTAAGGGAAGGCATGCCTTCAGGAGGACCTTTTAAGGGAAAACTGGCTCGTATTCATGATACACTTGCGTAAGAACACGAAAACTCTCCTGCAGCCAGCCTATTCAGGTGGAATCGAACCTGGTCAAACTACCAGTGTTCAGTAATTTTACCGCTAGGCACCTATCTTCATTGTTTAGAAGGATAGCAATAAATGGAATAATGCAATAAAATGAACAATAATAGCCGTTATTTGAGAATTCAAGACATAATTTTATCCGTCATGTAAAAATAACTTGGCGCTTATTAATTTTTGAAGGACGTAAATTTTAGTCTGTCATGATTTCAGTCTGATAATACATTAAATTTCTTACGTTAACTTAGTGTTTTAAATCCAAAAATACGGTCCAAATGAATAATAATAGTCAATTTACAAGAAGTACAGAACTAAGGCAAGATTTCTTTGATCTGCGCTTGTTAAAAGTTACTACATATTACTCACGCTTTTCAAAACTACAGCATCCCTTTGAAATCCTTTGCTGTTAAGTGCAGAAACAATTTACCATTAATGTTTTTTTAACTTGAGATGTGGGGTAATGGTCAGAGGCCAAGGTGCTGAACAGTATACTGAATTAGGATGTGGGAAAGAGATGACAATCATTGTTATTATTTCATCCTTACTTATTTTTTCCGCAATGGCAGGCACTTACCCATAACGGCATTGGCTACAACTAAGACCAGAAGTGGTGACCATTTTATTGTGGAGGCACCTAATAAGCTGCCACCGTTACCTCCTATGAAGGGATAGACAATTTTACATCCATGCCCTTCTCTGAGATTCGAACCCGGGCCCTTTGGTATCGCAGTCAGGCTTCCATAATCACTATACCGTCTGGGCGGTTCTCATCCTCATTTTATCGCCATCGCTACTTCATCGTTATAGGCAAATCATTAATTTTTATATGATTATCTTTCTTGATATCGAATGTTGGAGTGTCTTTTTAGTTGCGATTGATGCCGATTTGAATACTGAATACTTTTCTGTGATAAGGTGCACCATCTGTGTTTCCCTATTTTTTCTTTGCGCAAGTCCGCCGATTGCCAGAGCCCATCAGCCGCCGAGCGGTGAAGTCGGTGGACACTGGTAGCTCGGTCCGAGATTCGAATCTCGCGAACGGGCTGGCTGCATGTGGTTTTCCTCGTGTATAACGTGTATACGAGCCAGTTTCCATTATAAAGTCCTGCACGAAGGCATCCATTCCCTTAGGCAGATAGTCCTCGAGTGCTTTGCCGTTAATCGAATAAGCCAAAGCCAATTGCCAGGTGACTGAAGCTGCGAAACGTTGGTTGTTCGCTTCTGGTTTTAGACTCTTAAGCTGAATACCATGACTGTAAGAAACTTTCGTAATTACTCATGTTTAATATAAAATAATTAATTTTTTTTGTAAATTATTCCATAAAGGTAGAGAGCCCTTTATTGCAGTGATTTCCCATGATTAAATCACTCAAACAAATCATTCTTACTGTGTTTCGATAAATCTTATCAACTTCAGATTTTACTTTTTCTTCCAGAATTACGTTATAATTCTGCAAGTTCTTTAAAAAATAAACGCTAATTTAGGCTTTCATCGTTTTTCGTAAAGCAAAAATTCTTTTCGATGAGCAAAAGGAAATCCTAATGAAAATTGTTCATGAAAGCGAATTTTAGCAAAGCATAGTATATATGTAATGGTAAACCTATTCAGCATAAATTATACTTTATCGTTTAAAAAGATCTTCCAAGTGTTAAACTTTCTGTAGGAGGACTAATAATGCGTAAAGATATATAAATTTCACCGTGAATGTAACACTTTCCGTATTAATACTTTTGCAAAATTATGCAGTTTTTTGAGTTTAAAATGTTTTTTGAATTTTTTTATATGTTTCATTAAGAGTCAGAAGAAAAGAACTACGTTTGAAGAGTTATCGCATTCTAGTAGAAAATTGTAACATATTCACTTTTACATGATAACTACTCTTCCTTTCTGTATGTTAACATTTTTCTTAATACCATGAAGACTACTACTAAATTTTGTGCATAAACAAAAGAGATAGTTCAAGAGGTGTTTTTTTCCCCCACTATTAAATATTTTTTGTAAAACTCAATACAACCAGTTCTGCAACAGCGGCCTTTAATTATGAAAACTAGTTTAGTAAGCGACACCAACAAATTTAAGAAAGAACACTTATTGACTGAAGAAGAGTTTCTGCAGTTTCAGTTATCTACGTATAGTTTACATTAATAGCATATACCATAAGTTTTATTCGTGTATGTAGTAGTAATCAAATTTTAAATACTTTCTGCTGATTTGTTCATTTTATCAAAAAAAAAAAAAAAAAAAAAAAAAGTATTATTCTGAAATACCAAATAATATTCTGAACATATGATTCTGATCTTTCAAGGAAAAAAAAGTATCATTCTGCACTAAAAATTAGAACACAAAGTATCATAAAGTTAAAACATAAAGTATCATTCTGCCCTAAAAGTTAAAACTATTGAAGTTTACTGAATAGCCCTAAGATACAGATATTAAAACAGGCGATTTTAGAAAATTAATGTGATTTTTTTTTATAAATGGAATGGAAGCATCCTTCTGCTACTTTAGATATGATTTACATAACATTATGCGAAGTGTAATAATTGATAAACTGAATTTGCATTTGGAATTGATTTCAAAAAGAAAGGAGCAATGCATTTCGAGAAATAAATTCGAAAGTATTCTATTTCAAAAGTAAATTTTTTAATCTGAAGGAGTATCTATGTATCGAAAATTTTCATGTGAAATAATAATACTAATAATTAAACAAAGAACAAATTTAATTTGTTAATTGATCTATTATTTTCATCTCCCAGGTCTGTTAATTTTATCTTGCAAATCGTAAGCAAATCAAATCTTGCTCTTTGAAAAGTACG